TACATATACAGAATAATAAACCTTCTCACGTGAAGAAACAATTGTGATTTTTTTTTTATAAATAGCAGGAAACCAAGAAATATTACATTAGGCAAAGTATATTTCATTATCTACTATTGTTTCCTTAAAAAGTCAGGATTATATGTTGTGAAATGTACTTGGCATCCTCAGACAACTTTTATTTTTTTACAATTGTTGGTCTAGTAAATACAACAGAAGTATAAAAAGTTAAGACTACAGGACTCTTAAAAGTCATTGCTAATAGTGGCAAAACTGTCAGCTCTCAGTGCAGATTACTAAATGTTAAGATTAGCAAAATGAAGATTAAGGAAATTCTCTGGAGTTATTAATATGCCTGTAATAGTTTTCCATGCGATACCAAGGGAAATGTTTATGTTCAGAGCCAGAACTACACAGATGGAACAACATCAATATTAAGACATATTGCCAAATTTAGGGTATTTTTTGAACTACCTACTCTCCAGATTCTTTATTTAAAGAAGAAAAACAATACTAAAACAAAAAGCCCCAACCAAACAATAAAACAGACCAAGAAAACAAAAAAAACCCAGACCAATTTCCCCCTAAACTCCAACACACTAGCATTAACCAGAGCACAAAAGGCAACAAAGCTAATAGCACCTGAAATACATGCATCTCTCTAACACTGACATATCTGCATAAAAAATACATTTTTTAATCAAGGAATATAGAGGTTTTTGTTGTTACTGTCAAGTATTTTTTATATTTCATATTTTTTTCAAGTTATACTGAATATTTTATGCATCTTGTGAGCAAATAAAATTAAACAGTATAATTTGGTTTTATTTCAGAACATTCAAAACTTCTTTTACTAAATAAAAATAGAATAAAAATAAATTAAATTAGTCTTCCACTATTAATAATTTTAAAAGTCCTCCTAAAAGTAATTGATATAAACTTCTGTAAGGGTAAACCTGTGACATATGCTAGCATTCTTGCAAGTGCTAGAAAATTTGCACAAACTTATTCTTTCTCAAAGGAAGACAAAATTATGTGGGCATCTGATCTCAAAATTGAAATCAAAGTAAAAAAAACCTTAATCTTCAGGTAATTGAATTTATTATCAGATAAAATATAATTGTGATAAATTTCTGAATCTTTTAACACTGGAATAATTCAGTATCTATGCATTGGCTGTACAAACTGTTTAACTTAACAGAACAAGTTTAGGAAAAAAATCCAATGTGAAATGTGAGATACATTAAGAAACAGATCTCCTCTAAGCTATCCTTTTGCATAGAATATTTATTTTACTAATTAAAAGACTCACTATTTAAAGTTTCCTACCACAAACCCAGCAAGTCTAACAACACCAACCAGTGTTCTTGTGCCAGTTACTGGCAAAAAATAATAGATGAACTCAATTCAAACTGTAGCTGCACACCACAGCCCAGAAGAGATCTGAGACATTGAGGAAGACTCTGAATTACCTGGAAGGAGTACTTTATAGAAAGAGTAAGACACTGCTGGAGTTGGGAAGGATATAAAAAACGCCTGGAAGAAAACCTTTCATTTGTATAAGCTTTGAGAAGAAAGAGTGGTCTACTGAAACCTTAGCTGCCACCAAAAGTACTTGTTTTCTGCTTTGATAATACAGAAAATTACATTTGATAATATTGTCCTTTCAAAACCTTCTGTGAATAAATACAAATGTTTAGAAAGAACAGAAATATCTGCTAGAGGCTTTATGGGGAACACTGCTCCTGAAACGTCTCATGACTACACCAGTGTGTGTCACAGAGTAGTTCAGAACACATGTGTCTATAACATGCCATCCTCACTTTAAATCTGAGCAAGAATATAGCAAAGAACAACCCTGCAATGTTTACCATGACAACATCATCTGTCAGCTGCAGATCACTTCCCCAAGTGTAGCTGTTGTTACCCGTCTGAAAACAAGCCATTGTTGCTCTTGCATTACCAGAAGATGGACCTGCTTGAAGTAGCCATGCTAATGGCATTCTGCAACTTCAGTTTCCTCCCAATATAAAAAAACCCTGATGCTCTTCAAATACCTCACACTGACAGGAATGGTGTCTGGTACACTATCCGTAACAGAGCAAACCCATGATTTTTAAAATAGAACACACAAGTCCTTGCAGCTCATACAAGATACTTATTCTCAAACAGGGACCTCGGTTTTGTCTAACTCATTCTCTTTAGATTGGAGGCAAAGAAGGACATGTGACACATTTAACTGCAGAACCCCAAGTTCCCAGGCAAAACACTGAAATGAGGAATCTGTACTCTCATAATTTATATCTCCCTTTCATATCTGACATGTTTTCACCCTACAGAATAGCACGATACACACACACAGTTCCACGCCTGTGCAACGACGGGTATGCAGATAAATGCACCTCCTTGCCTCTCTGCACTGCAGCACTAACTGCTAAAGACTTGGCAAAGTGCCCCCAGCAAAGAGCTCTGTTTTACACAGTCATTTTTATGCCACTTAGATAATCCTGGACAAAACTGCTGGTTTTGAAAGGGGAGTGATGGGTAGAGAAAGGATGAACTGCAATGAGAGGTGAGACTACTGCTGACCAACATGACAATCAGAATTTGAGGCTTGCAAAATGCTTCCATTCTGTCACTCTTGTTACAGAAGGCCAAACATGATCAGAACACACCTAGCTGCCTGCAGGTCTTTCAGGAAATGGCATAAACAGCTTGCAAGGAACCCAGAAAACACAAGATGTGAAACATTGCCTTCCTCTCACCCAAGCCCAGGAGATTTCCCCACATCTACTATTTCTCAGATGAATCTCTGCTTAACACCTTGGAAATTAGCATAGGAGGACTGCACTGTGGCACATCTATCCTATAATTCTGCAAATTCACCTTGATATAGTTAAGTACACTTGGTGAACTTTTTTATCTTTTATCTGAAAAAGAGAAAGAAAAAAGAAACTTGGAGGCAAACAGTACCTAACTTTAACTGATACTCTCTGAATTTTCCTCTAATTTCAAAAATACCAACTACGAGGCACAGAGTAACTCAAATTTCTGAAGAAGTCTACAGAGCAAAGTCAGAAATCACACTTAGAACACTGAAAAATCTTGATCTTATTTCTTTCCTTCTCTTAGTGTACAATGGAACCAAAATTTATAGAACATTGCACAGGAAAATGATCTTTTTTAAGGGTGTTTTTTTTTTTTTTTTTGTTTTGGTTTATACAATAGAGATATGAAGTTTCTCTTAGAATGGCCTTCTACAAACTAAATTCAGCGGCCAGAACAATTGCTTCTTCATCACAAAATTAAGAATCAAACTTCTGTGAATAATCAGTGTTAGATAAGAATTTGTGCTTATCTGGCTATCTGGCAAGGGAAAATCTTCAGATTCTAAGTCTTGTCACTAATCTAAGGTGACAGTTATATCAATATTTTTTAAAGCTGAAGCAGAGAATTAATAATTAGCATTCCACTAATACTGTGTTTTAGAGGAGAGACAGATGATCCAGGAGACATTCACTCCTGGGAAAACTCATTTCTGTATAGCTAAAAACAGAATGTTATGTTCTTGAGGCCTGCTACTACAGTAATGCACACAGTTATATTTGAATGTGGGTTTTTAGTCATATGAATGTTTAAAAAAGTTATCCTTTTTTTTAATTCTCTTTTTACAAGGTCCATATATATTTATTAATATTTGCAAAGCTGAAGAGGTATGAAAGAGCAGTAATGAAAAGAAAGGAAAACTATTGTTATGAAGCAGGCACAGCATATAATAAAACAGAACTAATCCAATGCATAACTTTAAAGTTGGCCAGTTTTATCAGGAGAGAAATATCTCATGAAAGGCAAACAAACACCAGTCTCATTTTTCCTTTTCATACATGTATCTGTATTATTACAAATTTATCAAATAAAGGGCAAAGAAAATTTAAAAATCAACAATTGACTGTTTATTAAAGGGATGCAGTCAAAACAAATTTCTAAAAGACTTATTTGTCAGTAGATAACAAAAGAGAAGGAGATAATTATTATTTAATTTACTGAGGTATTTCATTAGGTCCAAGATCTCAAAGCTTTCCACTTGCAGGCTTCATATCCTAATAACTTGTCCCTACCAAATTTATAAAACATTAGAAGCTGAAACTTTTTTATCAGCAAATATTCAAGAAATAAAACTGAATGTCTTTGTGAAAAGTGTAGAATCTATCATTTTACGTTTTAGTTGATACACTTTGCTCCATTACACTGACTATTTTGAACTCTATTCTCTAGAAAGACTCCAGGTGGTTGATTTCAAGCTAAGTCAATCTTTCAACATTTTCTTTATGAGACCACCAAAGTTAATAAATAATAAATAAATTAGAGATATTTCCTTCAATAATGGCATACTTTAAAAACCATATTCTCATTGCTTGAGCATTCATTTAAGTTAAATGTGTGTCTCATCTTGGTATTCAATTAGTCACTTGGAAAAAACCCTAACAAAACAAACCAACAAACACTGCCATGTGGGCATGTATTTGAACTAGAAAGGCTTCTGCTTAATTATCTTTGTTTCAGAAGCAGTATTTATTCATTACATCTGCTAAAATGTGTAAGCTTCTCTGTAAATGTAATATCTAATCTAAAATCTAAAAATGCTTTTCATTTTTCTTTTACATCCAATCTCTATGCTTTCCACACTCAAATTGATGTCCTTAAATGTCTCTTTACACTCACACTTACTGACAAGTTAGTTTGAAAAACACACAAAAGAACAATAAAAGTAAATATTTTAATTTTTGTTCTAATAGAATATTTGTCCTTTAAGGTATTTCCTGCCTAGAGCATGTGCTCAGCTTAATTCAAATAATGTTTTGTATCTAAAATAGGGTAGAATGTCTTTCATTGGTTTCCACCATTTATGGATATTTCCAATCTATTGTACATGAGTAATATTAAAGTGAAGTGTTCACCTCTAGCTGCTTTGAAAAATATTAATAGGAAAACACACTCACCTTCAGGCTCCCCACAGAGTGTACACTGTGACTCTGCAAAGAAAAAGAGAAAAATATAATTTCTTTCTTTTAAGTTGTTATAATTATATCCAAATATAACAAAACTCAGAGAACTCAAAGTTAGCACAAAAAAAAGCAATTCTATTTCCAGCACACATTTCTTAAAAGGTGCAAAATAATTTTAAAAAAATAAGGATTTTTGCTGGAAGAATTTTAAAATAGAACTATATAAATGTTTAGTTACATTTATATAACCATCACCTTCAGAGACTCCAGACTGCATTCATGTAGCAGGACTTTTTGCTTCCACAAGACTTTTTTGTATTTTGATATGTACAATACTGCAGTGACAAGAGTCACTCAAATAAAAAGTTTAAGTCTGCTAATATTTTACTATTGGAGGTAGCAAACATTAATAGTGACAGAGTTATATTCCTTTCTCATAAAAGTCTCCCAAGTCCTCCCAGGCAAGAGAAGTCAAACAGTCATTCAAATGTACATTTATACTCTGCAAAATACTCAAGTATAGAAACGAAGGAAATTAAAGTCTATCATAACATACAATCTCTAAATGTGCAGTTACTATTTTATATATATTTATATATATATATATATGTATATATATATGCAGGCACACGCACACACGTGTGTGTATAAATTTAAATATAAAATCAGTATAAAAAGCAGTTTAACATGACTGGCAAACAAGGTCCACTACAAAAGCTTGCTGAAATTATAGCCACCTTGAATAACAAATAGAAGATTTGAATTTAGCTATGATCTTCACTCAAAGGCAAAAAATGTCCAAAAAAATGCAATATGAAACATGCAGTGAGCAGTTTGACCTCTATAGTGCCCCAGCAACACTGCCAGGTATTTAGAAGAAGTTTCTCCATACAGATAAGAAGCTGTCTCACAGTAATCCACCTTGTAATGGCATTTGACCCTACATCTTTCATGTATTTTAAACATGCTAATCACTGGGGGTTTACTATTGTTACAGACTGTGGCTTGCATGTGGGAAAGGAATGAAGAAAAATAAGTTTTTCCAGGCAGCTCTGTTGATGATAGATAGATCACAACTTTTAGAGCACCATAAAGTTGCCTGATAGAAAGGAATGAAATTTACAGCAGTTCAGCACCTTGAAACATGTAGCCAAAGTTTGTATTGACAGACTCATTAGTGTCCCCAGCAGAGGTGACAAACTAGAAACAGCACCCCAAGAGCAGGGTTGAGAAAATCTCCAGTGAAGAGCCCAAAAAGCCTGGTCACAGGTAAGTCAGGCCAGTTCCTTCCACTGCACATGAAAAATGCACTTGCCACAACATGAAGTGAGGCAGAAGAACCAGCTCAGAAGATCTTTTTTTCACATTTAATTCAAAGACTTTCTGAGGTTTTACTGAGATGGGCTGCCTGCCTGCATGTAGCTAGTTATCCTGATTGGTAAGGAAGAATATTCTGAGACTTGGTTTCTGAACTTCTGACTTTTTTTGATCCTTATGTTCTGCTAACAACTGCTGCACCATTTTTTTACAATCCAAAGAGTCTGCCTGACATATTTGGCACCTTCAAACACCATCTTCAAAAGGTCCCCACTCAACAGTACAAATTACTTTCTTCCCTCTTTTCTCCTCATAAACATAAATTAGTGTCAATATTACAAGTCTGCAGCAGGTTAGATAGTCTACCTGCAAAACAAGGCTGGCAGCTATGACTAGTGCCAGAAAGTTGTCAATAGTAGAAAGGTGTCAGCACTATCCCTGCCAGACTGCTGCTTTTTTGGATTTTTTCAGATGTTTTTAAGGTCCCATATCTGTGAGCAACCCAGGTGTCCCCCTATCCCAGCATGCCTGAGGAGACTTCATGGGGGGATTTTTTTTTATGCCTTCCAGCAGCTGGGAACCATTTCAAACCGACAGCAGCACATCTCTCTCTACTCCGGTAAGAAGCAGACTTTGTGGATGTGGATAATTCACCAGTAAGTTTCTATTTATTAATTTTTTGCCATAGTTTGCCACTGGGGTGGGGAGACTAGATACCCTTATTGTTGTGCTGGACACATACAGGTTGAGAGACAAATAAAAACACAAACCGCTTCTGGCAGGCATGTAAACAACACAACAAGGAGGTTGTACAGAGCCCTGCTTTCAACACAGCCTGTGTGAGAGAGACAGAAATAATTATCTCTCTACAGTCTGTTTAGATCTGTACATTCTATGGCTATTGTTGAGAGACTGCACACCCTCAGTTTCTAAAACCACAACACATAAAACATACACATGGCAGTCAATTATTTGTAAATTTACATTATATGGGAATACAGAAATCTGAAAATTTTGTTAAGAAACTATGATTTGACACTTATTTTAACTTCTTTTCTTTGTAATGAAGTTGCTGTATGTTGGTAGAAAAGATCTTTCTGGAAGATGGCTCAATACTAAATACCTGTATTAATTTAAATTTTTTCTAATTTTCATTTCACTTCTGGGAATAGATCTCAACAATGAAGGACATGACAATAGAATACCATTCCATCAGGTGAAATTACATTGTTTAGGCTTAGATCCATCTTACCCAAAGTTGAGTGTATCAGCATTAATTGAGTGTATCAGCAAAATCTAAACCAGTCTCAAAAATTAACCAAGGAGAGGAAAGAAACAGCCCCCTACTCTGCCTTAGAAACTTATGTAGCATGAAATCAAAATCAAGAAGTCACCTTTTTTAAAATTATCCATTTTTTCTTATTTGATGTTGTAAAAGGTCTTAGACTTCATAATAATATTCACTGCATCACCTCTGGAGATGAACTAGTTCAGCCTCCCACTGAGAGCAGAGAAGGGCTTTTGCCAATACAAGTTCAACTCTGCTGGGGCTTAAGAGTCAAGTCCTGAAAGCCACCAGGGATGGAGATTCCACAAACTCAATGAGCAGCCTGCACCAGTGCTGCATCAGCCTCCTTAAGCTGCATTTTAATTTCTTGGCCTGCATCTTGTGGTCATTCTTCTTTGTAATATCACTGAGCATTGCCCAAGTGACTTTTGCTCCATCCTCTGTAACTCCTTCATGTAGCTCACTGTGGATTGTCACCCCAACAAACTAAATAAGCCCATTTCATTCAACCACTCAGAGCAGAGGGCCCTCTGCTAGACTTCCTCCATTTTCTCCCTATGCTTGTGGAAGCAGGGAACCCCAGCCAGTGCACACAGTATTCCATGTGCCTCTCCAGCAGCAGAGGGAAGTTACAACCTTGACAATTTGCTAATCATACTCATGCTGACATAGCCCAGCACACACTTTACATGTTTGCAATGAGAATGCCATCTACTCACTCATGTGCAGCTTGGTATTCATGTTCAGTCAGAAAAAAAATAAACTAGTATATCAAGTCTTAATGAGTCCACTGATCCAAGTCTCCCAACTCTTACAGCCATGCTCATGTATGATAAATTGTGGCCTCAGACAAGTAACTTTTCTACACCCATGCTGGATAAAATGCTGAAGTGGATGAAATAGAAGCAGGAATGTGAACACATTTCAGACAAAGATATTTCTTAAGCCTCTCCCTTGCACAATTCCTAGAAATGGATTATGACTGTACATATCTGATCCACCCAAAGTATTATAATGATACTGTCACAGGAGGTATTCTTTCTTTGCTGTATGTTGCTAATTAATTGCACTTAACAAAGATGCTCCTCCTTGCAAACACTTACACATCTGAGTAACTTTTTGTCATAGCTCTCAATAGTCAAATGACTAATAGAGGTGACTGTTCAAAGATTTAAGACCCAATAAATCAATGAAACAAGGAAATCTGTATTTATATTATTAATCTCACTCTGTCATTTTGAAATTGTCTAGCCAACAGAAATAATGTTCCTAGATACAAGAACTTGCTGACAAAATAAGTCATAAGAAAGAATCTATGAAGAAACAAATTTGTCATAAAGACACAACATATTTTTCCCTCCAAATATTATGAAATGTATTTAATTTCTATAGTTTTTCTTGCCCAATCTCAATGATAAGAACAACTAAAAATAATAAAACCAGACATATAAATGCCAACATTATTTCTCATAGAAAAAAAAAAAGCTGAGTTCAACATACAGTTTTAAATTAGAGTGAAAATAAATTATTCTGCTAAACACATTAACACTTCATTATTTGTATAAATACTTTCCTTGTATGGCTGGTGCAAGTAGAATCAAATCTAATATAAAGAGGTAGAGTAAGAAAGCAAAATAAGGGCCAGGTGAAATATGCAAAATAGCCATTAAAAAACATGCAATTCAAAATATCTGTGCAGGCTATATAATGGAATAGGATTAAGACACCACATACCAGTAATATTTTTAATTAAAGAAAATACTGGATGATATTTAACATTACACTTTAGTGTACACTATGCACTTAACAGGGGTTTTCAAATTATGCAGTCCAATCTGGATGATTGTGACTAGGTTTTATGGAAGTGACAATATAGTGAGAAATAATGTGCAAAGGTGAGAAGCAGTACTGGGATAACTTGTCACCTCAGCACTACATTCAGAAAATACATGATGTCAGCACTTCTGACTACTCTTTGAATAATATACCACATATCCTGTTCTGTACCTCCTCTTCATTTTTTGTAACAGGACTTTCTGTCTCTCTTTTCATCTCATACTTCCAGATACCCTGCACTGCTCTTCCCTGCTGCCTATATAATTTTAAATTTCAATTAGAAAAATGCATATTATCTATTGCCTATATTTCTCTATTTGCTTTTGGTTTTTTGCCCACTAGATATATTTACTAACTGGCCAAAAAAAGCAAAATGCACTGTACAATTACTGAATATCACTGCCTATTTGAATGCAGACTTCCATGCATCAGAGAAAAACCATAAATTATTTTTGTTTCACAAAGAAACATGGAAATATGGTTTGTCTGACAAAAAAAAAGTCAGTTTGCCTTTCCCCCACTCACTTAGGCAAAATAATAATAAAAAAATAATAATTCATTTAAAATAGGAAATTTATCAGATAAT